TCTTCTCTTGCATCTTTCGCATTGGCATTAAATTGTAATCGGCACCTACGATAAACGAAAGTTGTATGATTTCTTGAAAACGCAATAATTTCAATACATGAATGTGCTAACCTATTCGATAATTTATATTCACATAAGGACTTCCCTATACCAATATTTCGTATGAGACTTGACACTGACAAGTTCTAAAAATAAAAAAATATTTTTATTGAAATGAAAACAACATAAAAGAATGAATTTACTCGATTTTCTTCAAGTTTATCATATAAAACATCAAGTTTCTTCTTCAATTCATTTAATTATCATTTTAATAATAATTATTGAGTTGCTTGTTAACATCAACTAGCAAGTAAATCAAATATATTTTGTATTATTTGATGTTCATTTGATAGTGAACTTTTAACAAGAGATACAAATGATGGAAGAGGAGTTGATGTTATGCTAGTCGATAGTTTATATGATGGAAGAACTGAATAATGAACAAAATTATATGCTATTGTTATTTGAAATATAAGTGCTTTCGTTTGTTTTGTTATTGTTGGATTGAAATGAAATGTTGTTTTAGAAACTTCGTTAACTATTGAAAGAAATGGAGAATTAGTAGAAGAAAAACTATCTGTAAAAGGTATAGGAAGCTAAAGATGATTATTAAAATGAATAATTAGGAAAAAAATAATTAAGATAGAATTTACTTTAACTGGATTTGATTTTGATGTTATCATCGAAACTGTTGGTGAATCAATCCATGCACTAGCTGATTTAATATCTTGATAAGATGAAATCGAAGAAGCTACAGGTAGTACAATTAAAAGATCAGCTGATGGTGATACTGGGGAAAAATGTTTTTTGAGCACCACAAAATAAGACAATTGAGCACCGAAAAAATTATATGTGAAATGAGCACCAAACAATGAGACAATTGAGCAGCAAATGAAAAGAATAATATAAAAGTTATCAATCTATTCGTGAAATTGAACAAGTCAACGTGAAGATGTAATCTGAGAATAGCAATATCAAATTTATAGACTTTTTTCTTTTTTATCGTTTCTTTATTTAGTAACGAGTGAAGTAAAAGCGAATAATACAAATAGTAATACAATTTTATTTATTATTATTATTATTTTTTGCTCTTTCAGGATACGCGATAATAAAAGAAAAAGAACGAAGACTGAAAGCAATGAGAAAAAAAGATAGAGAGGAATAAAAGTGTTAATGATGCGAGGTCTTTCGAATTCTATCTTTGTCAAGTGGCTAAATATGATAAAAAATAAATTAAAATAAAATCGTATTGCTATTTATATTATTTACTTTTACTTTATTTCCTATTGAAAAAAGAAAAATAAATCTATAAATTTTGACATAGCTATTCTCAAATTAGACCTTTATGCTGACTTGTTCATTTAAAGAATAATAGTCTTAATCAACTAATAAAACGTGGTCGGAACTTATAGGTAAACGACGAGAAAAATGTCGATAAAAAAGAAGCTCGGTCTGCATTATTGTTATGAATTGTTTCCTCTTCATTATATTCATATTTATTTATTTGTTTGTTCTTGTATTTATTATCTATCTGCTGTTGCTGCTTTTTATGTAAAGCTGCCACTATTATTCTGACTTCACCTAAAAGTAACTTTGGTGCTCAAATGTCTTATTCTTTAGTGCTCATTTCACACATATTAAAATTAGTGCTCAAATGTCTTATTTATTGGTGCTCTTTTCACATATAATAAATTTGGTGCTCATTTGTCTTATTTTTTGGTGCGCTTTTCACATATAACTAATTAGGTGCTCAATTGTCTTATTTTGTGGTGCTCAAAACACACCTCGTCCGTGATACTACCATTACATGTCCTAATAAAATAAAGCGAACAATTTGAATTCGTTAAAAAAAATTCCTCTAGAAACAAACCATATACAAATTGTTAATTAGACATTGTTGGTATTAGTATAAAATGTTGAGGAACAGGAGCAGCAGTTGAATTATTAAGAGGTGGTGTATAAGATGAAACTACACGTTCTCTAGGATATCGACTAATATCAATCAAATCGAAAGTAAAACTTTTTTTTTTCATCTTCAGATATTTATAACTCAACAAAGATGGAAAGAAGATAAAAGACAATTCATATGACTAACGAGGGAATATTCCCAACTGTCACGTCGCTTTTGACATGAGCGTATGCGCATCATGTAGGGTCTAATGATCTATGAATACTCTGAAAAACGTTCGTGCTGCTAGCTTATTACTGCCGAGATATTACATTTTTACTGTATGTTTAAGAAAAAAAGCCGTGGTTCCCCTCAGGAACATTAGAAAAACTGAGTTTCGAATTTCGACTTGAAACTTTGCACAGAGACAGGCCTCAATGAGAATAGTTTATTGTGAAAGTTTCAGATCTTTTCGTTGTTCCTATCCTAAGATACAGCTATGGTAAAATCGCTCATATACACCAGCAGATTCCGATGTTCTTATTTTAGACTAGGAGTAATCAAAAGATCTGAAACTTTCACAATAAACTATTCTCATTGAGGTCTGTCTCTGTGCAAAGTTTCAAGTCGAAATTCGAAACTCAGTTTTTCTAATGTTCCTGAGGGGAACCACGGCTTTTTTTCTTAAACATACACTAAAAATGCATTATCTCGGCAGTAATAAGCTAGCAGCACGAACTTTTTTCAGAGTATTCATAGATCATTAGACCCTACATGATGCGCATACTCTCGACACAAAAGCGATGTGACAGTTGGGAATGTTCCCCCGTAAGTAAAAGAGATTATGTCATAAAAGCATCTTCATACTGTTTATTATTTAAATGAAATTTCAAGAGAAAATTGATCATTATTTATTTCCACATGTATTTGCAAATTCTTATATAGATGTTTCAAAATAGTACATGAAAAAAAAAACTTTTTATCAATATTTCATTTTTTTTTACATAAATAAATAATTACAATAACATATGAGACAAAAAAAAGCACACAAGCGTTCAACATATTATAAAAGGAGAAGAAATCAATGTTTAATATTCAAAATAACATTGTCCACTATACGATCAGCCAACTTCGAGTATAAATCGTTATCTGATGATTTATCAGTAG